TAACTATCAAATATGAGCCTTCCTTTATCATCCCTCAAGGGTCCTACCCCCATCATAACACTTTGTGTATGCTTATATTTAGTATAGTTGGACACTTTCTTTCTCTCATTTTTTTAATTAGTTGTTTGTGAAAGTGATTAACTAAAACATTTCTGAGTCATGATGAAATTTATATTCAATCGGTATAAAAATTCTGTTTTAATTCATTAATTGTTGTGATGCCTTTAAGAGTTTGAACTTTTCTCTTTTTTAGGTTTGATAAAATTAATTATCTAGAACTTGTAGTTTTTAACAGAATTAACTTGGAAACTAAGATAAAAAAATGAGAAAAATTAATTAGTTTATACGGTTAAATAACTATACTTTTCTAATGAGTATTGTCTGTACATCCATTAAGGGACTCTTTCATGTTGTTTGTTCCAAGTTCATCAAATAAACATGTAAATATGTACTCTTATAGAGAACAGTATTGTATAAGAGCTAATTATAATTTCCTTGCTGTAAAAATAGTCTACAAATTCAAAATGTTACTATCCTACTTAAAGTAGCAGTTTTTATCAGTAAAATACTTTAGTGTCATTATTATTATTTAGTGTCATAAAATACAGTTGCGGTATATATGTGGCATAAGTAGCGTGAATGTAAAGAAAAGTAGTTCAATGAGATTTTGAAATAGATATTTGACATTAATACATTTGCTAGTTTTAATTTCGATATAGTAGCAGTTCTTATAGCTTGTTTCCTTTAAACAATTTTATAATGAATTATTTATTAGGTATTTAGAGAAAACACACAGCACATTTTTAGATAGAAAAAAAGACTAACATTAAGTTTTATGTGAGTGTGGAAACTGATTGTCCCAAAAGCAATTGCTATGAAATTATCATAGTTTTAAAGTACATGTATTCATTCACATGCTGCTAAGTTTTCATTAAGTTTTATTTAATGGGCTAAAAGTGGCAGGCATATATTTTTTTCACCAGTGTTGGCACTGTACCCAGTAATGCCCTTGGATATCCTCTTCATTTTAGTCAAGTTCAGTGTATGAGGTGTCTATCTACATTAAACATTTGTGTGGAGTCTGGATATTACATTACTTTTTCCTTATAGTTCAATTTATTTACTTTACGCAATCCAGCAAAATTCTGCAAAAATGTATTTGGTAGGATTTTTTTCAGTAGTTTGTAGACAAAAATCTCAGAATAGAAAAAAACAAATTTTTTCATAACTATCTTTGATGTCTTAACATTTGTCTCTGTAAGTATAAACAGAACAAAGTGTTAGGGTCAACCAAAATCTCATTATTTTAGCTGAGCGACTTTGTGAATCTGTTTTTAACATAAGTCTTGCCATTATAAGTATAACTGTCTCATTCATCTGTATGTCAAGTCATACAAGTCCTTAGAATGGCTAGTCTTCTGTTAAAAAAAAAAGAGACAGATTTACAAAAGTATTCCATCCTATTTATTGAGCTTTAACCTTCTGGATGATCCACACACACATACACTTTTGATTGATTTTTTCATACTTTTAAAAATTGAAATTGAGATAAATAAAGATGTTTTTAGAGAAATGTGTTTTTCCTATTCTAAGTTTTTTCAATCTGGTGGAAAAACCCTAGTAAATACATTTCTGTACCTTTGGATGTATTATGTATAGAAAAATGTAAATAAAGTAAATGAGGATTTTAGGACAAAAATGCTGAATGTCTAAAGTCCTCGTGAACTTCTAATGTCTCTTACACTGAATTTGGTTCAAGTAAAGTAGGTATCCAAGAGCAGTAAAGATACAATGCCACACTATTATAGTGCAAACAGTGGTGAAAAAATATATACCTGTCATTCTTAACTTGCTTTATAAAAATTCAAGAAAACTTGATAACTTTTGAGTGAATACATTTACTTTCAAACTAGCATCAATTCACCATAACTTCTTTTGGGGCCAATCTCCATAAGTTAAATCCAGTCCTTTTGTGGAATATTTATTGAAACCAAGGAAAAACTGACTACAACATTTTAAATATTGCAGACTGTTTCTGCTAGTCGAGAAGGAGAAATGACACTGACAGTTGAAACAGATTTGGTCACAGTCAAAACCTATTTTAAAGATTTGGACATGTCTGTAGAAGGTGGGTTTCTTTTTTCTAAAATATATCTCTGTATTCTGAACATCAGTGTATAAATCACTTTATTTATGACATTTTTTAAAAACTGGAATTACAAAAAAAGCTTAATATATTTTTATTGTAAACAATGAAAATATTTTTAAATTTCAATTATGCACCATTACAACTATTCTTGTAGGCTGTATGTATGTGATATTAGAAATAATTATGAAAATGGTGAGGGGGGAAAAAAGGATAAAAAAATTCAAATATTAATGGAATGTCACTACTTTATTACGTGTAAATGAACTACACCAGAGTATAGCCACATGTTGATAGTTTGTAAATGATTGTCATCCAATCAGTCAGAAAGTGCTATAAAAGTACAAACAGTCATACTATGTCCAGTAGTAGTATTTGTCTAGAAATCAAAGTTTTGGTTGGTCATGAACGCTCCATTTGATAAATTATAGCAAGACTCCATGTTTGAGCAGGACATGTATGCAAGACTGATTGAAACTGGTATTTTTAGTAAATGTAGTCTAGATAGAAAACCCAAACTCTCGAAAAGTGTTTTTAAGTATGTTTTTTATAGATAGATGGCAGTCAAGCTTAGGACTTGCCAATAGCCTGCTGTAAGAACAGTAAGATATACATTTAGCATGGAAGTAATCTCAAGGGATGTATAGTTGTTTGAAAACCTCTGGTGAGAAAAGTGCATTGGACCACAAACAGTGGAATGATTAAAGTCGGGAAACTGTCCTCTTTGTATATGAATCCAACTTCAAATTCTTTGGAAACAATCAACAACAATTATTTTATTTGCAGAGAGGAAAATGGTACCATAGTTTTTTGTACAACATCTACAGTGAAACATGGTGGGGAATAACTACAGGTATGAGGCTGTACCTCAGCCAACATTGTTGGTGATGTACACAAAATAGATGGAATCTTGACTGATGACATGTACAGGAATGTAATTCATGGGGCAAGATGGGGAATAATACAGGATATATGGAACAGTATTCCACAAACATACTTTGATAAACTATATGAGAGAATGGAAACAAAGTGTAATGCTCTATGTAAAGAAATGATGCGCATGCAAAATACTGATACATTATAAAGCTCATTCTCTTTTCTTTTGTATTTTCTGTGATAATCTTTTTTACCATTAATAAATTCACCAGCTAGTTATAATTACTCTTTATATGAGTATTTCTTCCATAATTATTTCCATTACATATATGTTTGTTTTATTTGAAAGTAAGTCTGACACCAAAATATATAAAAAAATTGAAAAGTTAAAAGCATGAATTTTGAAACATATAGACTTCATGATTATTGTGTATGAAGCTGGGTCTGACTTAATGTTTATTGTGGTGGCCTGCAAGTTTTGTGACATGATGTCACCAAATACACACTGAAATTTCAGCTACAGGTGTGTTATAAGAGTGATGTTCATGTCTGTTATCTAATTCAAAGTTGGACAGTCCTTTTGGTGCCTTTCCTCTGAATAAAAGTTCAAAATTAGGGATGGCTGTACCTGGTCATTTAACCCATGTGTGAATAAGATGCCTTGGAGTTTGAAAATACCAAATACCATTACTTTTAAACTGAGGTTAATGTTCTCTCTCAAACATACACATAACTTCTTCAGCATAAATGTTACAATATAATATTCTGGGCAAAATAAATTTTTCATAGAGGAAGAAGAACAAATAACTATTAGCATGTTTAGAATGGTCTATAATTAGTTTGTCATAGTAGATTTGATTGTTTTATTGCTTGTCTATTATACCTTTCAATTTAAGTATGGTTGTTTATAAAGGTAAAAATAGCTTGCATAAAATTAAAAGTTTAAAAATGAAAGCATCATAGTAGTTCTTGTAGTATTTTGTGGGTTGTTTTATATATATAATATTTAAATATTGATTGTTGATCATGATAAAATTCCTTTACATTGTGCTTGTGAACTTCTAGTGTTTTCATACTTTTATTTTGAAAGTTGGGTTATAATAGTAACTATTTCCAGTAGATCTAAAATTCTTTAAATTTTACAATAACCCTAAAAACTATTAACATTTAAGAAAATATTATGTAACCAGTTTGTCATCTTAGGATGTGAGGGTGATAAAGGTGTCAACTTATATCTGGAGTAAATTAGATATGATTTCATGAATGTAGATTGAGCTATAAATTGTTTAGTTAAAATTGATGTTTTTTTTATAGTAAAATTTTAGAAAACCACCAGATAAAAAGTTAAGACATCATTATAAGCATTTTCATCCAGAGTTGTGGAAATTTTGAAAAAACATTTCTTGTTCAGGGGGCAAAATGCTAGAAAAATCTTCTTGTCCTTCTTAAAAATGTACTTGCACCCTCCTCACCCCACAAACCATACAAAATAGTAGAATATGACTTTTAGGATTTTGATTTTATTTAACAGTGAACAAAACCAGCACATTGCCATTGGCAGATAAGTTTTTTGGGAATGATGTATGTCTCATTTTGTATCTAATCTACTCATACCTATATTCATTCACGTATTTTATAGTTTTTAACATTTAGTTATTAGGATTTTACAGTGCAACATGTAGAATACTCCATGCACAAACTGATAAAGAAATCATGGTTTACATTAATAGAACCACAAACTAAATGTTTATAAAACAATATGAAGCTTTTGGTAATTCTTATTATGTCATATATTCTTTCTAGAGCAGGCCTCGACAAATATTTTCAGATTTAAGAGCCAACCCATAAACTCAGAAGCTAGGAATACAAAATATTTGTAGCTTGGTTAACTATTTCATTAGTGATTAAAAACATAGTATACAAAAACACACAAAATACACATTAAGATTTCTTAAAGGTTTCACTCAACTTCAGTTGTTGTCCACTGTCCACAGATGAATGTTCAGGTTGTGTTGGGGTGTCGCCTAATTATGCATAGTTTTCTTCCATACAGATAATTGGTATCTTCAGTCTGTTTCAACAAAAGCTTTTTTGTAATAATTCCCAAGCATAGATTTTTGCAATAATGTTTGACTTATTTTTCACAGGTGCTGATAGAATACAAATGCACTTCCGTGTGTGTAGCAAAATAAGTGCCGACATGTAGGAGCTCTTTACGCTTATGTTAGTGATTAAATTCCACTAAAAGAGGAATGAGTAATCAAAAGAGGAAAGTACTATTAAAGAAAGTGGAATTGGACTCGTGTAACTCACAAAATTCTGAGTGTGACCAACTGACTGACCGACACTTGGCTTTTATGATTATGATTGGGACGATTTTTGTAATTTTTCCTAATAATGTGATTAAACGACAGTAAAGAGATTATAATTTAAAAGAAGAAACTTTAGTATATTGAAAAATGTTATTTAGGTTAATCAGTGGACTAATTAGTGAGATACACTGGTGCTTTGATTATCCATTGTTTCTGTTATCCAAAATTTTTTGCTTTCCCTGGACAAGTGCAGACAATTAAGGCACCAGTATATATATTTATTTACTTTCATGAGTACATGCTAACGATCACGTGATATCAACAACCACTTGATAGTATTGCCTGAACCAACTGCCTTTGGACTCATCCGAGTCTAAACGCGTGTACTGATTAGTTGAATTGAGAGAAAGAAGAAAAACAAAATGGCATGAAGTTAGTAACATGTTGTACAACCACGGTGTTTCATTCCTGAAAAAACATGAAATGTTGAATCTGCCATTAAAATCCTAGAGACAAAATTCGATTTTGGACACAAAGAATGCAAAAATAGTTTCAGATTTCCAAGAGTCCAGAACTGTTGCAGATTCAAGTTATGTTTAGCACAGCCCTCCACACGAATAAAATGGGAGAAAATACTATGCACCATGATGAAATTTTTAGTCTCCATGGCAACCTGGTGCCCAGGATTTGTCTATGCCTGTTCTAGAGCTGTAGAAAAAAACAATGTAATAATAGTTGCACTAATTTGAATATGTTTGTTACTGTGTGGGCAACTAAGGGTTTGTGCATTAAAGGGTTATGTATATGTTTGTATGTAGTTTGGGCTTGAGGTGTAGAGGTAGGTTTAAATGTTTGTGTTTATGTGCTAGAATTCCACTATTCAGAATTTTCAGGAACTTCTATAGATCCTTAGAAATCTACCAGCAATATTTTTCTAGCAATAAAACATGATGTGAAAGAAAAAAACTAGTTGTCCAATGTATGACAGTAAAATTTCTTGTCCCAGGCATTGGACGATATGAATTCCCTGCATTACTGGTAAGAAAGATATAGCTCTTGATGTAGTAAGTACATTTTAATAATGTTGTTTGTTAATAACATCCACTTTATTGCTATTATATGAATGGCAGTACTGCAATGAACATTTGTCCTAATTTTCCCTGATTTACTTTTTAAAATATTCATAAATATCCTTAAATTTTCACCCAGATAGTCCTAAATTTATTTCCAAAAAAATTTTCTAGCTAGAAATCCCTTGGTAAGGTATTGATTCACTTCATGAATTACAAATTTTTATTTATGAACTATTTTTGTTTTCCAGGTAAGAATGTTCAATCACAGTCCAATTCAAGTGATTGTCTACCTTGGGTGGAAGCAAGAGTAGATATACGCAAACTTAGTCAGTTCTTAGTTGGTCAGCAAGTAAATCCTCTTCGAGTTATATGCAGTAAGTATTAAATCAAGCATGCAAGTAGATTTTATGGAGAGTTTATACCTTGTCATTTAAAATTCAGCCACCTATCATTCAGAAACGGCTAGGGACTGTATATTCATTTGTAATCCTCTAAAATATATCTTCATCAAAAGCCTAACAAATTAATGTACCTTGAGGATTATACAGTATTTACATTTATTGTTTAAAGTCTTGGTTTTAATTCACTACACTTTGTTTGTTAAGATGATGTTTTGTTCAGTAGTTATGTACAAAATAGACACTTTATAGCATGCCTCTGACTGTTTAAAATAATGAAATAAAAACAGTGTGTAAATAAAGTAGTTGCTGATTTTATTCGTAAATTAACATAAAAAGTTGTAGAGTTCATCCGTTATAAAATTATGGCAGCTATTCAATGTTAACTGTTAACATGGGTTAATGGGTTAGTATGTATATTCATTATAATTCAAGCAAATATTATGAATACAGTTGGAGTAAACAATGTGGAAAGTGTTACTGTGTATTGATCTGGACCAATAATAATTCTTGTTGAAGTTCTGCTTCATGAACAGAGGTGTGGTAAGTACTGTTTATTAAGGGCATAAATAAATAGCCCTGAAAAAGTATGTTTATTAACACTTATGTTAAATAACAATTAATTGTCATTTTAATTTTTTGTTATGCTGATTTATTTGTGTTATTATTATTCAAATGGAATGAATACGATGTTATTTTAAATCAGAATTCAACAGTTTAAAACATTAAATGTTTCAAAAAAAAATTATGAACCCAAAAATGTTTTTTTAGAACTGAAGGTAGTTGCAGTACATACAAGTTAAATATTATTTATTTTAACTGAATTTTTAACTGATACCTCATTACCATCTGTACTTTTCCTCACCAATTACTTTTGTTAAAAAAAGGTAGAAACTTCAACCTGTGAACTCCTTAGAAGCTTACACTGGATGGGAATATATTACTTCAGGAACAATTTAGTTAACTTTTGCTACAATATTGAACTTATGAGTGGAGAAACGTTTTTGTTATTCTTTTTTGTCTTTAAATTTTATATCCACAGTTATATTATACATAAAATTCACTAGTTTGAACTAAAATGTAGTTTTCCTGATAAATATGCATTTTCACTATGCTTTGTCACATATTATGAAGTAGTTAATAAACTTTCTTAATTTTTCAGATATAGTACACAACAGGATGATTCATTTTTTTCTGCTTCATGATGATCTTTCATTGCAGTACTTCTTACCATGTATAGCATCGTGAAAACGAGCCTACATAAGTATACTTAGGAATTGCTGAAAGAATGTACTGTTTTGTTTCTTTGTGATGGCAAGAAACAGAACATTGTTCTAAAACTTTTCTCTGAGAAAAGATCATAAAATATTGTGGTTATGGAATGGAGAAATTGAACTGGTGCTGTAATCTCTAGTGTTGCATTTCTTAGATTACCAGAGATACTGAAAGTGATAGAATTTTCTTACCATATTGCATCTGAATCAATCACAACATACTTATTTTTATTATCATTTGCATGAAAGTGTATTTTGATTAAATATTAATTACTTAATTATTTATTCCACTGCATATTGTTTCTTTACATTATGTAAAATAATGCATATCTGAACTAAAGAAAATTTTTTACTGCCTGTTCTGTAAGTCTGTGTAATAGAAAGCTTCAAGGGTTTCCAATTTGTGACTAAGTGTGGAACTAAATAAGGGTTTGTCATGTTGATGAGGTTTCAAGATTTATGTTAATTGAATTATTTAAGTTGTTTTAATAGAGAAGCTTATTATTAGATAAAAATAGTTGTAAATATAGAACATTCAAACATTTTAGCTTTTGTGTACAGTTAATACTACTCAAAACATCATTTGTGCATAGATTTTACAAAGGTTTTATGTATTCAGCCTTTCATTTTCTTACTTAATGTGGAATGCTTTAAACCAACATAATTAGTCATTTTAATGGAATAAAAAAATTATAATCCCAGAGTTTCTGATTTCCTTGATCAAGAAATAGTCATGTATTGTGGGTTTTATATGATTGACAAATTCATGTGGTATTTTTTCTGAAATACACCATTTACCAGTAATTTACAGAGGAAGTTTTATTTTAGAAAGAATTAAAATGATGAATTAACATATGTATTTTTTTAATGTAACCAAGAGTTTCAGTGAACCAATAAAATCATACAACAAGTTTCTAATTTATGATTATTTTTGTATTCATAGTTTATAGTAGTCAGTTTGAAAAAGTATTGGAAATAATTGCATTATTAGGCTGTGTGGGTTTCCATTTTCACTTGTTCCTGTCCATTTTCATCAGTTTTAGTAGAAGTGTACTACAATCCAGGCATATCAAGGTTTTTTTATTTTTTTGTTAGATTTTCTTGTATTCATATTTTTATTTCACTTGCAGGTTTTCAGTTACGCTTTCAGTAACTAATTTCAAGTTCCTCAGTCTAGAGATTAACTGACAACAAAAAACAACATGGCTCTAAAAATTTCATTCTGTGTATTACCTTATGTTTACAATTTTAATGTAATAACATGCTACATCTGTTTATAGAATTTTAAAAAGATCTACTGGATTATTTTGTGCCACTAGACAGAAACAATGATTTGTTAACTTAAGTTATTTCTTCATTGCACATCTGTGGAAGAGTTGAATGTAACTTCCTCAGTTGCAAACTAATGAAATCATACACATATACATCCTTGTCCAGACTGTAGATATTTATTAGAACGGTTATGGTGTGGTTTTGGTGCTGCCAATTTTGCTGCTGGAAGGCATCATATACACAGCAGAGGCAAAATACACCTGTGTAGGGCTAAGGGGAAGAAGAATATTATATGCCATAGTTTTTATGGCACAACTTATACATACAAACGGGCATCATGCCTCAGGCCCTATGGCACAATGCAGCAAATGGGTTAATTCCCATATCTTCTTAAATTTGATCACTATAAAGACAGCTTGAAAGGTTTGGCTATGACTGCAGTTCTACTAATTCATAATTTTTTGTTAAGGGCGTTATAATGTGACGGTCAATCCCACTATTCGGTGGTTACAGAGTAGCCCAAGAGTTGGCAGTGGGTGGTGATGACTAGCTGCCTTCCCTCTAGTCTTACACTGCTAAATTAGGGACGGCTAGTGGAGATAGCCCTCGTGTAGCTTTGCGCGAAATTCAAAACAAACAAAGCATATTGCCTTTCCACGGCATGTTTGGTGGGACTGGGATTCGAACCCGCAGATTGCGAGTCGAGCTCCCTAACCACCTGGCCATGCCCAATACGTCATCACATACAAAAGGCAATAAAAATCTGTTCATTAGAAAGAAAAATGTTAAAAGAAGACGTTATAGATTGTTCAATTTAAGATCGCGGTTGTTGACGCTATAAGAATAAAAACATTTGAAATGTCAAGGAAATGTAAACAATATAATAATGGTGCCAGACTTTCTTGTGTATGTATATTCAAATTTTTGTAATTTTGAAAAGTTAAGGAAATACACTGTTGTTTTTTTACTGAGCGGGTAACAAGGAAAATTAAGTAAAATACTGTTGTTTATTTTTTAATATCTCATTTTTCATGAATACTATGTGAAAGTCAAAATATAAAGTTTTACAATATATTTATGATACTGTTTACGAATTTAAAGACAAATTTAGACGAGATCAAAATTAAGAGCAGTTTGAGATTTTTTTTTTCAATTATCCATGTTTATGCTTTAATAAATATTCTACAATTTGTATGTGATTTCTGTATTTTCATCGCAGGCGAACATAAAACAAAAAGTTACCATTGAAATACTGCCATATCGGAATACTTGAATGTGTATTCAATTATAATCAGAAATTTTTAAAGAATATAAAATATCTTCTTCACACCACATTATATATAGCAAAGTTGAAGAGAAGAAATATTTTGAGATATGTATTCGTAAACAATAAAAATATCTTTAAAGTATTGCCATTCGGTATTCACATTCTAGAAAATTCTGAAGTATTGGTAATTTCGTAAAAAATGAATCTATCAAATTCCATGGAGCAAGTTGACCTTAAGGTGAAGCTCTGAATTTCGGAGCTGGCTAGCCGAGTATGATTCCGTGCGACATAACAAAATGTTCACCGCACTTTTAAGTTGTGAGTGCTTTATAAGAGTAACAGTCAATCCATTAGCGTGGATGGTGGTTAGTAGGCTGCTGCTGATTAATTTCATCACTCAATGCAGTAGTTCAAAATTAGGGACAACGGCAAGTAGCCTTAGTAGCTTTCACATAAATACAAACAATACCATCAGATTTCTTTATATATCTGTACGGTACGACATCTGAAATACTCATCTCCACTTGTGCTTTAGACACTTGTATTCAAAATACAGTTTTCTATCTGTGTTTGCTGCCGCCGGCTACTTGGTTACATCAATTTTAATGCAACGAGTTACGTGTTCCCTGTCTGTTTCACAAGTAGTTAAGCTTGAATATGAAAGAGTCTTCTTTTTTTTTATATTACAAAGATTTATTGTTAGTACTTGAAAAACAAATTCAGTCTTATGTAAACAGCAAATTTTTGTGATGAAATTATTAAATTCGAGCAGTAAGAACATTTTTTGCTTTACATATTTCATTTTCTTTAAGCAATCATATCCTGTAAAATGTTTTGAAATATTCCATATCGTAAAACTTTCTTCTTATCCATATTTAGCGTTTGTTTATATTATACTTTATATTTGTCAGGTATTTTGTAAAACAAACTAATAGAAATTTTGATAAATTGATACTGTTGTAAGCTATATTTTTTCACGTTGTAATTTGATAGAGGGCATATAACGCCTAGAAAGTTAAGGATGTAACGTCAAGTTTTTCTTGTACATTCGAAGCTACATTATTAATGAGATAGTTGTGAAGTGGGTAGAGAGTGAACCAATCAGTGTGGTAAGTTGGTTTACCTTAGTTTACATCATTTGTAACGTAGGTCTACAGCAATTTGACGGCAATGTATGTACAAAAATTCAAGTTTATAGAAACGTTAAAGGAGGAAATGACGGGGAAAGTACTACCACTCCCACACTAAGTAAGCTAATGAGAAGTGTGTTTTGAAATATCCCATATCGTAAAACTGTTTCCTTCTTATCCATATAGTTGAAGCTACGTTATTAATGAGATAGTTGTGAAGTGTGTAGAGTGAACCAATCAGTGTGGTAGCTATTATGGTAACTTATCGTTATGTGAACTGAACATTGAAATGTTTTCGCCAAATAATTTAAAAGAATATTAAAGCCTTAAGGATAAAAATTTATTAAGGAACGTGACTATTAACGCTAAAATAATAAAAATCGTGCTTCGCATTTTGGGCAGTTGGTGACCTATAAGAGTGAAGGTAAAATCCCACTATTTGATATGTGTTGCTCACGAGGTGGCAGTGGGTGGTGTTGACTAGCTGCTACCTTCTCATTATTTAGTGAGTGACGCCGTTACTTAAAGAATGCTTAGAACATATAACAACTATTTATACACGTTTGAAAAATATGAAGGCCATCTTTTGCACGAAACTTACACTTCAGGAAAAGCTGAAAAATGTACACTTATAGATATAACTTCGGGTTATTCTATTTTAATAATATGTCATATATTTTAACTTATTACGTACCTAACTGAAATAAATAAATTTTGCGAAATCAAGCTTGGCCAACAAAGAGGCAGAAAAGTGCAGTCGAGGCAGTCAAACGTCGAGAAATCAAGCCTGACATGACACACATTGGCTTTTATATAGGTTAGATGAAATAGTATGAATACAAAAAAATATTTTTGGTAATGTTACTTTTAGTAAAAATTTTCCAAGAAAGAAGACACCAATGATGATGAAGGTGTTCTGAGGGATAATATTTCCTAAGAACGAAAGCTGGTGAAGATTATGACTCAGAGTAAAATCAATATAGAAAAAGTTTTTGCTTTGAATTTATGCACAAAGCTACCCAATGGGCTATCTGTGCTCTGCCCACCACGGGTATCGAAATCAGGTTTCTAGCGTTGTAAGTCCGCAGACATACCGCTGTGCTATTGGGGGCAATATAGAAAAAGTAGCAACTAGAGGCATATGATCTTTTGAAGCCTTAAGGATAAAAATTCATATTTAGAAAAATTTAATGTATTAATTAAAAGTTAGAACGATAAAATCGTTAAAACGGAGACATTTTGAATCCCCAGGTTAACGATTTGTTTGAATACCGTTCATGTTGAGTAAATTTATGTTTTTACCTATGTCAACATTCGGTGAAAAGCGCAGACAAAAATAATTAGGTGGAATCACTCATGTAAACCTCCCTAATTAGTGGGATTAATTGCAAAACCGGTGGATTTTCTTTTATTTTTTGATGTATGTGTGTGAATTATAACAGTACCCAATAAAGTCATGGATCCACAAAAATATGTTTGAAAATTCGACAAAGACCATAAGTGTAGATATTTGTTTCATTACACGCGTGATTTATTAAGGGATGTGCCCATTATCGCTTAAAAAAATAAAAATAGTGCTTCGCATTTTGGGCAGTGGGTGCCCTATAGGAGTGACGTTAAAATACCACTATTTGATATGGGTTGCTCACGAGGTGGCAGTGAGTGGTGTTGACTAGCTGCTACAGTCTCCTAAGTCTAGGGAGAGATAGCACGGATAGCCCTCGCGTAGCTTTGCTCGAATATCAATAAAACAACAAGAGCTTTGCTGGTAACTGAAAATAATATATATATATATATATATATATATTAACTTATTATACTTATTACGTTATTTAAAGAATGCTTTGAACATATTACATAACTATTTATACATATACATTAAATTTGAAATAAATAACATATTTGAAAAATATGAAGGCCATCTTTTGCACGAAACTGAAAAATATTCACTTACAGATAAGGCCCGGCATGGCCAGGTGGTTAGGGTACTCGACTCGCAATCTGCGGGTCGCGGGTTCGAATCCCCGTCACACCGAACATGCTCGCCCTTTCAGCCGTGGGGGCGTTATAATGTGACGGTCAATCCCACTATTCGTTGGTAAAAGAGTAGCCCAAGAGTTGGCGGTGGGTGGTGATGACTTGCTGCCTTCCCTCTAGTCTTACACTGCTAAATTAGGGACGGCTAGCGCAGATAGCCCTCGTGTAGCTTTGCGCGAAATTCAAAACAAACAAAGAAACTTATAGATAACAACT